GAGGGCATGGCACATAGAAAAAGAAAAATGTATAGTTCATATAGGCGGTGTTTAATCAAATGTTTTGTCACCTAGTGGTTGTAAGTTCAATCCGTGGGTCAGGCTGTGAAATCCATATATTCTGCTTCTGCAGTAATGAAAAAAGAAACGGTAACGCAAAGACAAAAACTAATGCAATAACACAAAATATTGAACACCTGACAATGGCCAAGAGAGTCTTTGACCGAAATGCTGTCTATAACAATGAAAAATGAGAACAATAGTTCAAAATGAATCGAATATTTCAAAGTATAACGACTTCATACGGTTTTTGAGTTCAGGGGAAAATGTACTTGACATTTATAGGCTTCTTCCAGATTCTGCTTATATACTAACTACTGAAGAGTATTTGTACGACATTTCCACTTCTATCTATGTAACATTTTCCTTTTGGGAAATGTCTAAGCATACGGTTTTGATAATTGTTCACGCATCCTTTATATTGGTAAGTGCAGAATCTTATGAAGCGAATAGAAATCTTCAAACCACGTCCTATTAATACTAGGCTGGTCTCGTTTCAAACAAACGTGATGTCGAGTCCGAATTTCAGTCGAGTTCATTACATTCATTTACATGCACTTACTGTTAGGAAAGGTATGAATGAATCTCTTCTCCCCAAGCTATGGGTTAAATAACAAGATTTTTACCTGGAAAAAGCACTGTTATTCTAAAAGAAAATGAATGCATTATTCATTCGCAAAAAAAAAAAGAAAAGAAAAGAATTATTCTTACAAACCAAAATAAGTCTCGGCTTTAAATAAACCACAAAGAGTTGATGTTGATAAGCCGTAAAATAAAATCAGTCAGACAGTCCTCGGAAATCTTCAGAAAGTTCCTGAAACCATTTTCGGTAACTTAACAACTATATCATTATACGTATTATCCTTCTGTAACAACCTATTGTTGTTCGTTGCATGGAGTTGATGAATAGCCACAAAGGATTACAAAGCAGTAATGAAGTTTTTCGGGAGTGGAGTAATAGATAGCGGTGGAGTAATGGATAGCGGCTCGGATTGAGGAGTTGGAGAGGCGAGTTCGAATTCTACTCCAACCCATTACATTCACTTATGTGCTAATAGCCTTGGGAAAGTATTAATCCTCTTCTTCTATGTGTAAATAGCAGGACAGATCTTGTTCTATAGCCTTGGATGGCAACTGGTCTACCGCAGAAAGAAATGGCAACTTACTCGTCAGTCATGTGTCGAAAGATACATGATCGCTTAAGCGTGTATCACGCATGGCACATAACTGATTGAATGAGGTTTTTCGGCAGTAAACACCATCCACATCTATTATGGAACTAGTACTATTCCTTGCTGATAAGTTAGAGTCTATAACCTCATAAGATCTGAGCCACACACGAATCCTAAGTTCAAGCCGTAGAAATTGAACACATGACCATCTCACATATTGCCAGTCCTCTACGGTTCAATTAGCAACAGTTGCTGCGCTGTGTCCGGTGTTATGGTGTTAACAGAGACCTTGGTGGATCGTCTGGTTCCATGTCCCATAAAACACCTGCTGGATATGTACCTGGTAGCTCCTGCATTGAACGTGGATGTGATTTGAGCCAGTGTCGTTTGTCTAGTCACACGTGGTTGGCCAATACCGTGTTCACTGCGGGCGGTAATGCCTTCTATTATGTATTCTCGGTACACATGTAACACTGTAGATAGAAGGATATCAAATATCCCCACAATTTCAGAAAATGAAAGCTTCGTCATGTCACCGTGCCATGCTCAAGCCTAGCCGATGTTCACATTAACTCTCCAGATGTTACAGCACAACTGATATAGTTCGGAGGCATTTCCATTAGGTCATGATAATGTTGCATCAACTATTATTGCCCTTACATACTCCCAATCTAAAACTTTATACACGTCGGCAACGAAGAGCTTCATAATCAAGCAAGGTTATGTCTGCGTTTAAATTTAAATCTCGCTTGACTGTGAAGCCGAGTGCTCGAAATACGCCCGATCAAACGACGGTTTCTCCTGCAAAGAGGAACGCAGGTTCGAATCTTGACGAAGGACGCATTTTTCTTGAATCAGATTTCTCGAATGTTCAGGCCCGCTGACGAAATAAAATACCTTTTAAAATAAACGGAGCGTTTATTCAAATATGGGTATCTGCTAAAATAACGTTTAAAGTAATAGACAGGCAGACAGATAGATAGATAGATAGAAAGTTGAAATGTATATCGAATTCTAAATGGTTTGTTATACACAGGTTGTAATAGATACGCAGGTAAATCAATAACGCCCGTAGCTTAATGATGGAGAAAGCTTTTCTTTTACACATGGAATATTCATTTTTACCTTCGTTGTCCAAGCATATAATTCAATAGTGGTTATTAGATCAAATATATAGATCAAACGTTGTACAGTGAAAATCTCAGATCAAATTCAGCTACTAAATACGCGTAAGGCTACGAGGTTATTGTTCAACGCTTGTAGCAAGCGAGATACAGTATTGGCCAAGAATTTGGGGAAAAACCCTCTGGACTTTGAAGAATTGCCTAAACATTGAAGGTTACTTGCCTTTTTCAAAACTAATTTACTAACTCACTTCGCACCAGAGATACTTTCAAGGGTTTTATCATATATTAAACAACGACAACAATAATAATAACCATATAATAATTGTGCTTGTCCCTACCTTCGTTAATTCTTTAGTTCGCACGACCGTTACGTCCTGCCTATACCTTATAAATAATGCACTATACCATTTTGATCTCATGGAAAGACAAAAGCTTTATCAGGAACGCTACTTAGTTTCAGTGAAAAAGAACAATAAAAGTGTTTAACGTCTCCTACTAATACCTCACAAATAATGAACTAATTCGTTTTGATCGCGTGTGAGAAGACAAAAGACATATAAAGGACACTACTTGGTTTCAGTGAGAAAATGAAAGAAAGACGGGAAGATGGGAATGTTTGTTTCAGTGAAAATGAAAAAAAGTTGTCAATTTCAAGTCTTTTCATTTGTACCCCCTTACTTCTTAAAATAACGACCAGCATTCATATTTATGATTATTATTGCAATATTTTGTTAAAGTTGTTAAGCTCAAATATTTAACAATGCAATAGGGGAATTTCTACGGATATTTTATTGTCGTAGAACTCACCATGAGCATATTCAGTTATTCCGAAGAATTTATATTCATCAGAAATTTATAATAGAAAAACCGTGAAATTTTCACGGGTTAAAAGTAATACTACTACCACTACTACTACTACTACTACTACTACTACTACTACTAATAATAATAATAATAATAATAATAGTAATAATAATAATAATAATAAAACTACCACTACTACTACTACTACTACTACTACTACTACTACTAATAATAATAATAATAGTAATAATAATAATAATAATAAAAGTAATACTACTACCAGTACTACTACTACTACTACTAATAATAATAATAATAGTAATAATAATAATAAAAGTAATACTACTACCACTACTACTACTACTAATAATAATAATAATAATAGTAATAATAATAATAATAATAATAAAAGTAATACTACTACCACCACTACTACTACTACTACTAATACTAATAATAATAGTAATAATAATAATAATAATAATAATAAACCACAAACAAAAACGGTGCCTCCTTATTGATATGGCAGTCCCTGCTGACTGCAATGTATATTGAAGATATTCAAAAAGTTGTCAAAGTACAAGGACCTTGAAATAGAAATCTCGAAAATGTGGCATATGGGAACATCAACAATCCCTGTTGTAGTTGGAGCCCTAGGACTGGGTGGGAAAGATTCCAGTAGACTAATTGAAGGGATTCCTGGAAGTCCATGCCTCAAGGAGACACAGAAAATTGTTCTGACAAGTACAGCCCACACCTTACGAAGGGCTTTATCTATGTAATTTTTTTTTTTTTTTTTTGTCAGTGGAAAGTGTCATGACGCCATTTCTAACCTTAGGTCCCTGGGCGGGACCCGGAAAGAAATGTGTAAACGCCAGAAATCAAAGAAAATAATAATAATAATAATAATAATAATAATAATAATAATAAAAGTATCCCACTACTGCATAAAGTTTCCTTCATTTTTTTGTTCTCTTTACCTGATCTTCTTTGTTGGTTAATAGTAAACTCAGGGCTGGCGTATTTTAAATTTTAGGTACCCTACCTCTAAAAAGCTGAACGCCTTGCACTAATGAGTTAAATAGTTTCAACATCCTAGATTAGTATGTATGGTACTTATTCATTGTAAAAAATCCAGAGGGTTGCCCAAACTTTTGGCTTATAGTGTCGCTTGATAGATGTTCTACTTTTCCATGTCTGACCAGTGACTTTTATTGATATGATTGCTTAAAAAAAAAAAAAAAAAAAAAGCTTGCTAATTTCAAATAATACATTTTTCGGTATTATCGCTTTATTCCTTCATTACTTTTATCTATTTTACAAGTTTTTTTTATTCCATCTTGTCTCAAAAATGTCTGAAACAAAACACCGATTTCGATGCCTTTAGCTGTCTTCCAGGGAATTCAGTTTTTTTTAATTAAAATTCTATAAAGACGGGAGTAATTGACAATCCAATATCTGAGTAATACTGCTAATTAACCCAAACATACCAACTAAGCTGTAATCGTTTTTGTCTGCTCACCAAAGAAGCATATGGACGAGCGTTATCCTGATGGAATATTAAACATTTTCTATTCACTAATTCCGAGTGTTTACTTTTAATTCTTGCCGTCTTTTAAGTAACTTGTCTTTCAGTCGGACTATATATTGACACATTATCTCCTTCTTTAATACATTTACGCGAGTTAATTTTGATTCATTTCATTTTCCCGGAGATATTTGCAATTCACATTGTTGCAAAATATCCACTTTTCATCATCAATTTGTTTTTTAAAAAAAAGGATAATTTTTGTACAAACTGAAATAAAGTTTGTAGTTATTTCCCCTTATCGTAAGTGGATTGAAATACCGGTTCTCGTACGATAACCGAAGTTAAGCAACGTCGAGCCTAGTCAGTATCTAGATGGGTCACCGCTTGGGAATACCAGGTGCTGTAATCTTGGATGTGGAATAATAGATAAAGGTTCGGAATTGGAAATAGAAATTCCAGTTAAGTTCGTTCTATAAACTTACGCGCAAAAATCCTTGAGAAAGGTATGGATCCACTTCCTCCCAGCTATGGGTTAATTAGTTGGATAAATGATTATTATCTAAAAAGAAACAAATAAAATTCTTAGAATATAGAAATATTTTCTGGCTTTAAATAAACAGTAAAAGGTTGATAAGCCGTAAAAAACAAATCAATCATTTAATTTTACCGTCAGTGGAAATGACACATCAATCAATTAACATAATCAAGCTAAAGAAAACTATTTTCGATGCTTGGTTTGATTGAGTCTATTATCTGTCCTTCTTGACATATCATCTTGATTACTCTCCTGCCTTGATCTTTATGAATCTCACTTCGGAGCTCCAAATTACTAACCTTGTGTCATACAAAAATTAGTAAATTACATTAGTTGTTACCCTCACCCGTGAAGCAATAGTAAATAAGTTAGTTTCGCCGATTGTAATGAAACCGACGCTTACAAGGGCGTACCTCATATGAATTATGGTCATTTGTTATAAGGATGATGTTACTATGTATTCTGGTGGAGTAATGGATAACGGCTCGGATTGAGGAATCGGAGAACCGAGTTCGAATTCCAGTCGTTGCATTCACTTCCTAAGTGGGAAAGATATGAATCCTCTGCTTCTCTCCCACAGCCCGCTATGGGTAAATAGCAGCTCAGATCTGGCTCTATATCTCTTGGATGGCAAATGGTCTGCCGCGGGAAAAAATCGTCAGTCATGTATCGAAAGCATGTATCACGCATGGCAAATAACTGGCTGACTTCCTCGGTAATTTTCATTGTTGTTAAAAAATCTATTTTGGGAAGTTTATTAAAACCAAAACGCATGAAAATAGATACTACGCATTTTCTGCTTTCTCGGGAATTGACGATATTAGACACTATTTATCTATTAATCTATTTACGTGGTCTGATTGGTTTGGTTTGGTTTGTTTTACGGCAATGGGTTATTTAGTGCCGACAATTTTTATTGCTGGTAATATTATCATTCAAAAATGTAAAATTGCTAGTAATATTTTTTTCTTCAAAAATGTAGCGCTGGTAATATTTTTTCAAAAAATGTATAGCTGGTAATTTTTTTTCAGAAATGTATAGCTGGTAATAGTTTTTTGTTTTTTTTTTCAAAAATGTATAGTTTGATTTCGTTTGGTATTGTTTACGGCATATCAACCTCAATGGGTTATTTAATGCCAACAAAATTTTTATTGCTGTTAATATTTTTTTCAAAAACATATTGGTGTTATTTTTATTTATTTTTTTTAAAAATGTATTGCTGGTAATAATTTTTTTACAACGTATTTCTGGTATTAAACCCTATTTTTACACTTTCATAGTGTTTTGACCTCAGTTTGGGCGGTTAACTATTTACCCATGACTGAGACCCTAACAGATGCTACCACCCCGGGTCAGGGTGGACCTGGGAACACCAGTAATTAAGAGGTGGTTCCACGCTCCTGAAAACCTCCTGATCAAAAGCCTTGCTGTTGGACGTAGTTTATCGTCTTACCCAGGACGCAGATGCAGTTTATCGTCATACCAAGCACGGTAAGTGGTCTGATCAAAAAGTATAAAAACTGGATCTTATAAAAAGAAAACTACAATACATATCAATTCGGCATTTAATCTCCTCCGAAGTAATCCCATTCTGAAGTAACACAGTTTATCCAGTATTGTTTACATTGATAGAAGCATTCCTAGGACTCTTTTTTTTTATAGTTAGTGAGCAGTTGAATCGTTGCATTCCCCAGGATTTCCTTGACATCTTGAAATCTCGTTCTTTTCAAGTGGATTTTGATTTTTGGAAAGAGGATATAGTCGCAAGCGGTGAAATCTGGGGAATATGGTGGTTGTTGGACCTGGGGAATGTTCTACTTAACCAAAAACTGCTGCACAAGCCATAATTAATGATGGAAACACCGAGGCGTGCGGAGACGACTACACTTTCATTCCAAGCACTGTTATAAAGAACGTTAGTGAGCGATAACGTTATAGCTTAGTGTGCATGCGCAATAGAGTTCAAGGTCAATCCCTGCTAAGCGGCTTCACTCCGTGTACTTTTTCATCAAACCGCGTATTTACAAGAAAATTTCATATTTTAAATTTATATATTTATAATATTGTAAATAATAAAGAAAGTGTTGTTGGTTTAATTATTTTTAACATTGTGCAAATATAAAATTATTTTTGTAAACAGTTTTATATATAAATAGCGTTTAACATTTTTGCTGTTATTCCCGAGGGAAAAATGTGTAAATATAGCTGCATGGGTTTCGATTTTATTAATTTTTTTTTAAGCATTTCATCCCAAGCAAGCCAGGAATGTCACTAGCACGCAGGGAGGAGGTTACAGAGAGTAAAATTGAGAGAAAAGACTGGGTATAGGAAGATGGCGGTTGACACTGCATTTAAATTTTTGAAGATCGTAGCTATCAAAGAAGCAAGTAAGAGAAAGGGAGTTTCACAGTCGGGAAGTGAAAAATAAGAAACTGTTGGAGTAGAAGTGGAAATTATTGAACTGGTTTTTTAAAAGAATAAAAATTGCCGAGATAGTTACAGTGGCGTAATGAGAAAAAAACTCCTTTTCACATATCGTTTTCTTGCATATACATTTGTTAAACTATGTCGGTTATTTAATGTTTACTATGCACCGCAGGTTATTTTGTTTATACTTGAGTCAAAAGGGATATATTGGTCGGGTTTATAATTGAATCTGCAAGCTTCTACTCTTTTGACTTACCTCTCCGCAGGGGATAGAGTCTGTATATTTTAAGCCACGCTAACAGGGCATTTCAAAATTGTCAAAATATGAGAGGCGAATTAATGATTGCCATTACGGAATCGGTGCCCCATGTTCGAATTAAAGTGGGTGCAGATTTTGAATTCTTTCTCTCTACTGGATATCTTGGAAAAAATATCTGATCAATAGCATGCCACAACAAGAAAAGACAGTGAACGACTGAACATTGTAAACCCATAACATCATCACCACTCCGTTTTACAAATGTGGTTCATGGTGGCATTTAAGGTAGTGTGCATGCGCAATAGAGTTCAAGGTCAGTTGACAGTTCCTTTTGCACCGGGGATGTTGAGGTTAACCTGTCCCTACTCTCGGAATTTAAAGAGTCTGGTCATATAAAAATCCTGGTTTGAATTCAGAGTTTTCCTTTCGCAAGATTAGCTTATAGCGTCCAATCTGTCCTGCTAGCTTGAAGGGATAGATTCTTATCTCTCTCAACGGTGTTAGAGCGTAATTCTATAATACTTTTTTTCTTTTCTTATTGCTATTAACCGTGGCTGTAGCTCGTTTATTTCTCACTTTCCTCTTCTCAATATATTTGTTTTTATAGCATAGATTTCTTTTTTTGCTCAGTTAGAGCATTTTACGCCGCCGTGGTCACCACTCCTGTCCATCTCACAATTGTGTTTCATGGTGACATTCAAGGAAGGATGTTGAGGTTACCCCCGTCCCTCTTCTGAGAGGTGGATTTGTTTTTGAAGTTACATTCTAGCCTTTGTTCTAAAGAGGCAGGACCTAAAGGTGGTTTGAATTCAGATTTTCCTTCTCCTAGACTGGTTGCCACCGAAGGATTTAGGACTCAGTACTGCTATTTTCCCCATAGCTGGAGTAAGGAGAACAGAAGGATTCATAACTTTCCACAGGGTACATAGGTGAATGTAATAAACTTGACTTGAATTTGAACTTAGCTTTCCGATTCCTGAATCCGAGCAACTAAACATCACTCCACCGTGCTTCCATAAACTCCACAACATTCCCATGAATTTCATTCCTTCGGTGACAGTAAATGTAAAATGCTGCTACCTTCGTATTCAACCTCGACAGGTTGTGTAGCAGTTGTAATTATAGTTAAAAGTATTAACTGACTTCGAAGTTGTCGGATTTGTTGGTAGTTTTGGTAACATGTTATCGACATTGCCAGTTGCTGTCATTCTCCTTGTCGCTGTCATGGTTGTCGCTATGGAATTGCTATGTGCTTCGTAATTAATGGCCTTGAGGTTAACGCATGTCGTCACAACAGCCGATCTTCTGTTACAGTTTTTAGCAGCTCCGACGCAGGCAACACACCCTGTCATTTTCGAGTCTTCCATTTTAATTAATTAGCCAGATAATCAATTAACTTTTTAAATTAATTATTGGGTCGCCAGTAAAGGATTTGGTTCACACGTAGCTTGAGCACAAACCCCTACACCGAGGCGAACAGAAGGAAGTTGCGCTTCGTTGGAATTTATGGGTGGGGCTCAGATGATCAAATTTAATTTCTTTTTTTATTTCTCTTATTTTACCTTATCTTTTTTAAAATGAATTTTATTTCCTTTTGATTTTCTCTTCTTTCTCTATAGCTTTTTCACATCCCTCTTTCATTTCCCTCTTTTTCTCTTCCTTTTGTGCTTATTCGTTTCTCTTTCTTTTTCTTTCACTTCTTTCTTTCTTTCTTTCTTTAATCTTTTATTTCTTTTTAATGTTTTTACATTCTTTTCCCTCTTCTATAAACCGCCCTTTTATCGGAGTCTTCCTTGTTTACGATTCTTAACTTATTTATTTTATACACAACCTCTTTTCTTAAGATTAAAGTTCACTGGCCAGACTCAATGTTTTTAAGCTGCAAGTTATCAAATGTAAAATTAGAAGCGTTACTCCCAGAGACACCTAAGAAATTAGCATAATCGAAAAGATCTTTTCAAACTAAGGAAAATCGTTTTATGTAAAAAAAAAATATATTCTTGAGAATTATCGTACCACAATGTGAAGGGGAAAAATAAAATAATTTTCTGGATGTGTATCCATTAGATTATGTATGTAAATAGAATCTTTGTTAAATATTCATATGTATTATGAATTCCAGATTATGTTATACGTAAAAAACTTGGAAGTACCCATACAGTATTAACTACAAGGTTTGAATCAAT